AACTCTGCTATTGTATTGTATTGTATTGTATTGTATTGTATTGTATTGTATTGTATTGTAATATCCTCACTAGCCTCATCAGCCTTCCCTCTTTCCTTTGTTCCCAGGATTGGCCATATGTCCCCCTGTTGTGAAGGGCACAGATCAAAAGTGAGATATGTTCTCAGGCAGAAGGGAGACATAGCAAAGGTGTCAGTTTTACAACTCTTTATAGCTCCATTCCGGGATAAGTTCTATGCCCATAGATTGCAGATTGATAAGAGTTCCAATGGCAAGAATCACACATTTTGGCATTTGCCAGATATTCTACAGACCCTAATAACGGGGCCACAGGGAGTCAGTTGCAGGGAACAAAAGACACTTACAGCATGCAAGCTTATCCTTTACAAATACAAGGCATAATATACCGTGTGTTACAGAAAACAAATATTTCTACTAATCAACAAGTTTGTATCCTTATTACTACTCCCCTTCCCTCGGGATCTTTTATGTACAGTGGTGACCAAATCTGGACATAATATTCCAAGTATATTCCATAATATTCCAAGCCTCATAATGCCCAACCTTGCTTCCTCCTCTAAGTCAACGTTAAGAATGTGAAGGCCAAAACAATCAGCTGCGCATGGATGGGCAGCCAGGAAGCCCATGGGAGCATGCGAATTCCCAAAACAGCACATTCCTCCTCCTTTTAGGACAGTCACAAGGGTGGTGGGATGTCCTTTCCCATTTGCCTCTGGCTCTGAAGGTTAGGAAGTGGGAGGGGTGAGTCTCTGGTCCTTTCCCAGTGGGAGGGATCGTGGTGGAAAGTTCTGAGCCATTATCTCATCCCGAGACCTCCTCCTCCCCCCCCCCCCACACTCTCCGATGAGAGGGAGGCCGAGAAGGGGAGGCAGGAAAGGAGAGCGCACTGCTTTCACTTCTACTTTTGAAATCTGTCAGATGCTGGCCTGGGACTCAAACAAAGAAAGGCAGAAGTTCGGCAGTCCGTTGCTCCGTCACCGCCACCCTTCCAAGGTACGTGTGCGTCTCGGTTGCCCTTTCTCAGGAAACGGAGAACTTCTGATCTTAGAAACTGCAGGGCAGGGACGGATGTTGGCAATGTTGGTCCAGGGGCGGGGACTAATGAAGGCTTTGGTGCTTTAGTTATGGAGGGGAAGATTCAGCAGAGTCAGCTCTGAAGCATCATCGCTGAGGAAGTTCTGCAACGGCTCTCTCTCCGTGTGGCTGGATTTCACACGGGAGACCTTCCCCGGTGCTTAGGTTGGGGAGGGGCACCAAAGTGTTAGGACCAAGGTGTGAAGGATTAAGAAGGGGAAAACCACAAGAGGCCACCATACGTCATTCAAAAAGAAGGATGAGCCCCCTTGGGTCTTAAAAACGTGTTTTCTAATTTTTATGGGGAGAGGAGGAGGAGGAGGAGGAGGAGGTGGAAGAGGAGGAAGGCTGTAGGGTCCTTGATGCTTTCTGACCTTGGTTGTCTTCTTGCAAATGTTTCATTACCCAACTAGGTAATATCAGTACTAGAAGGGAGTGGGGTTTATGGACAGGAGGAGGAGGAGGAGGAGGAGGAGGAAGAGGAGG